TTAGGTGTGGATAAAATATTTGGAAAAGGTCAACGAAAAGGTTTTCTTGTTCCAATAGATAAAATAGCACAATTGGTTGCGTACAAACATTTACTGACCACGGGGCAGAAAAGGATATTCTTAAGTCTCTCCAAACTGGCAACGGAGTAGTTATCCGGCCAACTAAACCACAGAGCAGTGGATTCTTAGGAACTCTACTGGCTAGTATAGGAGTCCCCCTGTTGCTAAACGCATTAATGGGAAAAGGACTACAGGCCGATAGAACCGGTTCCGCTAATACAACATCTGTTTATCATTATTAGACGTTATACATAACCCTAAATTCAGTTCCACTAATCAAATGATAAATCACCAATTTCTGATAAACTATTTTAAGTAATCCTATTACATATGACTGAAAAGGTCCGTGTTTATTGCCAAGAAATTACTCCGCATTCTGTGAATCAATATGGATGTTTCGATTGCTGCAACTGTGAGCCCTTGAGTGACAGTGATTATGAGTCAGATAGCAGCCATTATACTTATGTTCCAGATAGTGATTAGACAATAATTATATAACATAAATAGATAATAATGGTGAAATCCTATTGTGTTAAACAAAAGAAGCAAAAAAAATGTGTAGAACCTTTGGGTTATAAAACTGCCAAAAGTGGTAGACTTGTGTTTTGGTGCACTTGTGCTGAATGTGGAATGAAAAAGTTTAAATTTGTAAAGAAGGGAAACACTGCCAAAGATCTGTAATAAAAGAATGTCTTCTCGAAAAATATCACACCTTCAGCTAAGCTGCTTGTAAAGGACATGGCTTTAGCCTCCGACGCACTCGTTTTTAGGGAAGCTTGTATTTCGTAGACATGGCCGAGAGTGAAGTTTTTACGGTAATTTCAGATCGCAAGCAAAGATACATTTCTTTACCATCTACGCTGTAGTCTTTTGAACAACTTATGTTAAAAGAAGTTTCCTACTTTTTCTTTGAATAGCTGGAAGTGAACGATCCTCAGGTTAGGGCCTTTGTAGAGGAACTGATCAGTTACCTAGAAAACCGCCTGGCGGAAATTGATCTGGTAATTTGTCATTGTTAATTCACTATGGTAGTTTGTGCAATCGATTTTCTAATGTAACACCCAATATGATTGCCGTATTAGTTTTAATTCCGATTTTACCTTTCAGGTAAACCCAGGGCTGGATCCTTTCGATAGGTGGTAAGTAATAACTAGCGCTGACACTAAATGAACAGAGTTCGGTTTCACACAAGACTATGATTTTACTTTAGGTATCGTTAAATTGATAGATAAATTTTCTATAGCTAGGCAGGCTAGGTGGTGTGAGGTGGACTTTTTTTTGTTGCGCAACGCATAAATCGTTTCTTTTTTCTAATCTAGGGACCAGATGATCGTGTTAATAGCGGTATTTTGCACATTTCAATTTCCATCAGATGAGCCGGCTAACGGTAGGTTCAAACTCAATCAATGGCACTACTTATACTACCATAAGATGTCTCAGACAACTTGAGAGCTGTCTAGTATAACGGACGGACCAATCAATTTTTGTGGGGAGGAGGTATTCCTGATAAGAGATTTTCCCTTGCGATAAGATATGATGGGAGTCTTCTTAAAGATTTCTCTTAGCCGTTGCTGGTTTTGTATAAGGTGTCATTTCCCCATTAGTGTTCTCTTCAGGCCAGGCAAGGACTGTTGGTATTGTGTAACAAAGGTATTAGAAGTTTTTTACGTGAGCGGATTTGTTTTTCCGTTGTGAGGGACTTTCTCTTCCCCTCGTCTTGCGCTTTGCACTCATTTAATGCTTCACGCGAAACGCCTTGTTCGCCTCGCTTGGCTCAAGTGTCTGTTATGCAGGCTAATTTCTTCTTAGTATGAATTAATTTTCTCAGCATCGGTATTTGCCAGCATCACTCTGTAAAATTCCGCTGAAGAAGACAGTAAAGTCGAAACCGGTCTGGAAAATGGCTTGTTTTGGTTGAGACGGGTGGATCGGTACTCAAACACAAGTACCATCCTTAATTTCCAGTGTGAAACCACAAGGGAGGTTCCCTTAGGGGAAAAGGGAAGTATGCTGAACCTAGACTCCTGCTCTTGGCATTAGAAAGTTTTTGTGAGCCATGAAAAGGTTCTGAAAGCCAAATAAATGAGTTTACTTGGAACCAAATAAAAAATTTTGTGTCCCCTTCCAATTTCTTCAATGCATGGATTTTTCGGGGGTGGGGTCGATTCCACCTTCAAAGGCTTAGAGGCTCTCGAATGTGAACTTTGAATTATCTTACAACTGTTTACAAGTGCAGGAGGATCACAAAATGAAAAGTAAAATTACTTTTGGGTAATAATCACGAGCTCCTATGATAAGGCCACTCACAGTAAATTTACTTAGCCTTGATCTCATTATCTCGCGGAGACCCTTTATAAGAGGCTGTAACCTTTCGTTAATCCTCTTGGTCTGAAAACTGACATCAAGCGGAATCTTCGATAGCTGACCCGCTTATCCTTTGAACAAGCAGCTCTCCTTGGAAATTCAGCACAACAAACGTTAAGTATATCTCATTTCCTTCTTGTTTTCAACTGTTTGCTGTTATTGTTAATACCTCCAACCTTCTGTTTCTTCATCATTCCTTTGTGAGGCGTTTACAGACATTCCTCACCAAACATCACGAAAAGGTGTGCCACTCACAACATGAACTTGCCTCACGAAAGTGTATCTTTTCTAGGCATTGGCGGTAGAACCGTCTCTAAGAAGCTGTCATTTGATTTGGACAAAATTAAGGCTTTTTAGCTAAACATTATAATTTTAGAACTGGGAACTAATGATTTCTGTGTAGTAGGGCAGCGCCCCGAATCTCTTGGTTCAGATATTGAACATTTAGTTCAAGTCCTCCATGATCACTGTGGAGCAGAATTTATAATGGTATGCCTAGTAATTTACCGTTCTGCTATTCCTCCACACGTCCCCGATTTCAGCCACAAAGTAGACCTTCTCAATAAATATCTAAAAGTGGTCCTCGAACCACTCCCTTATACTGAAGCGTGGAGCCATAGAGGGCTTCAAAGTCCATCTATTGCTATTTTATTCTGAGATGGGAATCATTTGAACGAAGTGGGTGACTATGCTCTTTATCGCAGCTACGGGGGAGCCATACTATTCGCCTTGAAGAAGTTAGCCACTTTTTCTGAGGCTCAGTGACAGATTCCAACTTATCTATCCAGTCATGCATTCTACTTTCATTGTAACCGTCCTTTATTGCGGACAGGAGAGTTTTATCTTAAAAGAAAGGCTGTTAGACAGGGTGGTAGTTTGTGGGGATCATTAATCAACTTAGGAAGCAAGTTACTACCTATGGCCATGCCATTAGCCAAAGAAGCTATCGCATCGCTTGCAACAGGAGCATTATCAGGATAAGCTAGTTTAGGTGTGGATAAAATATTTGGAAAAGGTCAACGAGGAGGTTTTCTTGTTCCAATAGATAAAATAGCACAATTCACACTGGGGATTTAAGGCGCTCTGAGCGCTAAGAGCCGCCATCTTGTTTTTTGCGCGCAAAGCCTTATGGTCCGAAAACCGAGAGCGAGTTGGGTCGAAATACGGGCATTTTGTTCAAAACTGGCGGAAAATATGATTGCAGTGTTTCCGCCATGTTGACAAGGAAGGCCTGAGCTTTTCGATGATGTGAAAACCACTCAAAAAAACGGATTCTAGACTTTTTTAGCAGCAATGATAGGTAGGCGTTGTTTACACGTCTTTTTTTCGTTCTTCTGAGGGATATTTTCGGCTTTATCGGGCGTATTTCGAAAAAGTGAAACGATAGCAATGTTTTCAATTTAGTCGGCCACTGTCATGTAAAATTTGGTGCTGTTTGGCCCATCCGCAGGGATTTTAGACCAAGCACATAAAGAGAGGAAAGGACGCTTCAACATCGGGGCTTTTGCAAGGGCTAAACGGCTCGCGAAAGAGGAAGCTATTGGAAGAGCTATAAGCAAATGCACTGAATTGCAGTCCGTATGTGCTGAGATGGAAAACGAAATACATGCATTAAAAGTTAAGGTAGGTTATTTTTGTTTACATGCTTTATCTTTTGTTGTTCACAAGATTCTCATGAAGGAAATTTCTTAAAACAAGGGTAGTCTTAAACTGTTGTTAGTTTTCGCCCTTAAAGAGGATGGATAAATAACCTTTTATTTATATATTTATTTATTTACTTATTGGATTGTTTATTTATCTATGTATTTATTTATATATATATATATTTATTTATTTTCTATCCTTAGGGGAGTGGTTAACAATATATTCATTTATTGTGTCATCCATTCATGACTCCATGATTAAGTTT